AGGGTTGGCACTAGAAGCTTTCTTGGGGCCCATGGTCACTTATTTTGCAGGTGAAATCACTAAAAAACGCTGTAATAATATGAAATGTTCCGATTGTATGCTTGGAAGTTACAACGGAGGCTGGCTTGTAAACAATACCACCGGCAGAACAAGTGAGGTTGGCTCAGGCCGCACATAGACGCGTCTCAGACGAATCGCGTTGAGCAAGGTTTTTAGCTCTATGCGAGGCCAAATATTAGCGATAAAATGTATCGCTACACGGATTTAATGTTAAGTGATGCCAACGTTAGGCGGGGCCCCACTGTATGGGATCATTATTTAGTTGTAGCTACAGTTAGAGTATATTTTTAAATGCTTATACACTAGTGCACTGTATATTGTAATAAACAGAATAGAGGAAATCAGCTCTAATATACATTATTTAGGTATGCATACTGGTCAGAGAGCCTGTAATAAGTCCGAGTCATCGGTATATGAGCATGTCACTAAGTGAGTTGAGGCTATAATTATTAACTTAATGTCAGGTCTAGCTTTTTGTGAGAGTTGTATTGGAGTGAGCACCGAGGGAGCGACAGTTCTGTGACCTACTGTGACTAAGTCCGAGTTACCTCGCCCAGAGTACTTGCACATAATAATTCAGGTAATACCCTGTAAATCTCATGCAGGTAATTTTCTCACATAAGAATTCATAGCTTTTGGGAGATTCTGAAGAGAAGTTAGAGGTTAGTGGACAAATCTAGAAGGGTATGTAACAGACGGAAATCAAAAGTGAATACAGTGGACCCCCGCATAACGATGGCATCACATAGCGATTTTTCCTCATACCGATTACTTTTATCGCAAAATTTTTGCCGCGCATACCGATTAAAAACCCGCTTACCGATTTTCGTCCGAGACGCGTCCAATGTGCCCTCAGCCAGCCTCACATGTGCCGGCCGTCCCATTGTTTACCAGCCAGCCTCCGCGGTAACATCCAAGCATACACTCGGAATATTTCGTATTATTACAGTGTTTTCGGTGCTGTTTCTGGAAAATAAGTGACCATGGGCCCCAAGAAAGCTTCTAGTGCCAACCCTGTGGTAAAAAGGGTGAGAATTAGTATGGAAATTAAGAAAGATTTTGAAGGGTTTGGGGCTAACCCTGAGAAGCCTATGCCAGTTGTGGAATCCATTGTGCCTACTTCAAAGATTAAGGAAATGTGTGCACAGTGGGTTGAACTGCAAACCTTTATAGATGAAAATCACCCTGACACAGCTGTTGCAAGCCGTGCTGGTGACTATTTCAATGACAATGTTGTGGCCCATTTTAGACAAATCGTAAAGGAACGGGAGGTACAGAGCTCTATGGACAGATTTGTTGTGCGACAGAGGTCCAGTGACTCTCAAGCTGGTCCTAGTGGCATTAAAAGAAGAAGGGAAGTAACCCCGGAAAAGGACTTGCTACCTCAAGTCGTAATGGAAGGGGATTCCCCTTCTAAACAGTAAGAAGATAATGCTCTCCCTCCTCCCATCCCATCAATCATCACCAGATCTTCAATAAAAGTAAGTGTCATGTAATTGTGCATGCCTTTTTCAGTTTGTGTGTATTAAAATTAACATTTCATGTGGTAAAAAAAAATTTTTTTCATACTTTTGGGCGTCTTGCACGGATTAATTTTATTTCCATTATTTCTTATGGAGGAAAATTCATTCGCATAACGATTATTTCGCATAACGATTATCCCTCTTGCACGGATTAAAATCGTTAACCGGGGGTCCACTGTATAAAAAAGAGCAAGGTGATGAGGATCATAGAAAATTTAGGAAATGAAAGACTGGATGTCAGATTGTAGGGAAAGAGTATGGAGGAAGTGAATGTATTCAAATATTTGGGAGTGGACTTGTCAGATGCATCTATGAAAGACAAGGCGAATCATAGAACTGATGAAGAAAAAAAAGGTGAATGATGTACCGAGGAGTATGTGGAAACAATGTTGTCCATGGAAGCAAAAAGGGGAATGTATGAAAGCATAGTGGTACCAATACTCTTACAGGGGTGTGTGAAGCATGGGTGGTGAATGTTTTAACAAGGAGAAGGCTGGAGGAGGAGACATCATGTCTGAGGGTAATGTGCAATGTGAATATTATGCAGAGAATCTTTAGCTTGGAGATTAGAAGGAAGTGTGGGGTTTCTAAGAGTATTATCCAGAGTGCTGAGGAGTGTCTGAAGTGGTTCTGACATTTAGAAAGGATGGAACGAAATAGAATGATTTGGAGGATGTATAAATCTATAGTGGAAGGAAGGCATGGTAGGGATTGTCCTTAGAAAGGTTGGAGGAGGGGGTAAAGGAGGTTTTGTGTGAGAGGGGCTTAGACTTAAAGCAAGCATACATGAGTGTGTTAGATAGGAGTGAGCGGAAGCAAATGGTTTTTATGACTTGACATGGTGTTGGAGTATAAGCAAAGTACATAACATTTATGAAGGAATTCAGGGAAACTGGTTAGCCAGACTTGAACCCTGGAAGTGGGAAGTGCAGTTCCTGCACTCTGAAGGAGGGGTGGAGATAAGAACATAAGACAGGAAGAACACTACACCAGACCTACTGCCCCATACAAGGCAGGTCCAAGTCACTTACCGGCTTATGCTCCAACTTGAAACCATTGCTGCGAGTCCTGTCTTGGCTAGATATTTTTAGCACGCTATTTACATCCCCTTTGTTTTTTTCCTGTTTTCCATTTAAAACACCTCAATCATATCCCCTCTAATTTTACATGTTTCTAGAGAGTACAGATTCAGAGCCCTCAGTCTGTCTTCATAGAGAAGACTTCTGATACACGGGATCAACTTTGTCATCCTCCTTTGTACGTTTTCCAGTGCATTTAACGTACATGTATATCCATTCTCCATTCTGTAATACAGTGACCAGAACTGCGCAGCATAATCTAAATGAGGCCTAACCAAAGATATATAGTTGAAGAACAACCTGAGGATTAATATTATTTATGCTTCTTGATATGAAACCAAGGATTCTGTTTGCTTTATTGCAAACACTTACGAATTGTTGTCTTGGTGTCAGATTACTGCTAACCAGAACTCCTAAATTTTTTTGCAATCAGTAATATTAAGATCTACATTATTTAGTTTATATGTGGCATGGTTATTTTCCTGTCCAACATTTAGAACTTTGCATTTGTCTATATTAAACTGCATCTGCCACTTCTCCGACTACTGCATCAGACTATTTAAATCTTGGAGTGCTCTAATGTCCTCATTAGAATGAATTGGACAGCCTACTTTGGTGTCATCAGCAGATTTGCTTATGTTGCTTTATATTCCCTCATCCATATTGTTTACGTAAATTGTGAACAACAAAGGGCTCAACACTGACCCCTGTGGAACACTGCTTCTAACATGCCCCCACTCTGATTTCTCCCCATTTATGCAAACTCTCTACTGCCTATTTGTCAACCATGCCTCTACCCAGGAAAAAATTTCTTCTATTCCATGTGCCTTAAGTTTCCTCAAAAGTCTCTGATGTGGAACTCTATCAAAAGCCTTACACAATACACACAATATCATATTCATTACCATGATCTGCCTCCTCAAATACCTTAGTGAAAAAAATAAGTAAATTCCTAAGGCAGGAACACCCCCCTTTCTAAAACTGTGTTAACATTCATTAATCAATTTATTAATATCATAAATTTTCCCACTGTGGAGGTAAGGTTTATTGGTCTATAGTTCAAAGCTAAGGACCTGTTGCCTGCTTTGTAAATAGGTATTATGTTTGCCATTTTCCACTTGTCTGGCACTGTGCGTGTTTGTAGTTATATGTTGAAAAGATTAGTCAAAGGTTTGCTAAGTTCCTCTTTACATTCCTTTAAATCCCTTGCAAACAGTTCATCAGGACCTGGGGATTTGTTAGGTTTTAATTTCTCTATTTGTCTGAGGACCATGTCACTAGTTACCCCAATTGTGCATAGTTTATTATCATCCTGTTCTACATATTTTATTACTTCTGGAATTTCGCTAGTATTTTCCTGAGTAAATAATTATTATAATCATGGGGAGTGCTAAACCCATAGGGATTATATAATTAGCGCTTCTTTTTTTTATAATAATCCATAGGGATTATACAGTGCCTGGGGTGGGGGGATGGAAGGTATTCAGGCTCAATTCAGGGAACTGGAACACAGATCCAATTCCCTAGATCAAGAGCATCAAGGAACCTCCCTTGAGGGGCTTCCTGAGTAAAACTTGAGAGGAAGTGTTGAAAATTTCACACATTTCCTTATTAATGTCAGTGATATGACCTGAGTTACTTTTAAGTAAGCTTATGATGTCCCTAATCTTCTGAATACCTGAAAGAACCCTTTTGGGTTAGTCTTCGAATCCCTTGCGACTTTAGCCTCATAATCCCTTTTTTCTTATTCCATTTTTTATTTCTCTCTAATTGAATATATTGATTTCTTAACTGCCCATCCCCTCTTTTGATACACCTATATATGCCTCTCTTTTGACCAATGAGATGTTTATCCATTTGGGATCATTTTTATTATATCTGTTATTAGATGTTGCAGTTTTTTTTAACTGTAGTGTAGGCACATCTTTGGCAAGACAGTGATGGCCGAATGATGAAAGTGTTTCTTCTTTTTCGGGGGTGCCCCAGTTCCTGGAATTAAGTCTGTATGCCTTCTATCAACCCTTATCCCCAACAAGTGCTGTATGATCCCTATGGGTTTAGCACTCCCCATGATAATTCTTTTTTTTTTTGGGGGGTCACCCTGCCTTGGTGGGAAACGGTTGATGTGTTAATAAAAAAATAGTGAATATTTGTTGATAATGCAAATTATTACATTCATGGGAGGAGCACTAAATCTACAGGGAGTCATAAAGCACCTGAAGAAATGATAGGCACTCGGGTTCGACCAAAAAGGTCCGTTTCAAAGGAAATACAGTAATTGATTACTATGCAGGCCACTGGCTGATTTAAGAAGCAGACTTGAAATAAAATAACTGTATATTTGAATTTTAACACTTTATTAAATCAGAAATAATATACATACATACATTACAAAGAAAAACAGCTTAAAGAAACTATATACAGAGCACAAGAATTTATTAAAAAAAAAAAACTGCCAAAAATGTAAAATGTTATGCCAGAAATTGTATACATGGATGTCTAATTCTCTAATAAGCCCTTGTGGCTTAGCGCTTCTTTTTGATTATAATAATAATAATAATTCTCTAATATTTCTGAGCATTGTCCTAAAATTCTTCACAAGTTTTTTGTTCACATCATCTTGTGACTTTCTTTAACTGCATGAACAGCATAACTGACTGATGTATTGGACGACCAAAACCATTTATTTATCAGTGGGTTGTAAGTCATTCCATGCACCATCTGAGTAACACATCTACCTGGGGAGAAAAAAAAAAGGAGGGGAGAGGATTAAAATAAACTCACAAAAAAAAAATTAAAACAAATAACCAGGTTTAGCACTTATTCGTAGATTATAATTGTTATAATCATTAACCATAAAGGAAAACAGATTGTGTAGAAAAAAGCTCTTACAGAGCCTCCCCTACATACGAACATTCGTGTTCTGAACTTTTGATAATGCGAACAATTTGCCCTGAAATTGAAAATTTGAGCATAAGATGGTGAACGTCACCTGTCCATACAACATGAATCGTTCCACCATTAAAACGATTCTCAAGAGCAAGGACAAAATTATGGAACATATGAAAAGTTCAGTGCCACTGCAGTCTACAATAATCATTAAGAGATGTGGAAAAGTGATGGAAAATCTTGAAAAACGGTTAAGCATTTCCCTCGAAGATCAGCAACAGTGTCAGGTGCTGCCGAGCCTAATGCTGATCCAAGAGGAGCTGACCAATGAAAACCTCGTGGAGCTGGAAACCCAGAGAATGGAGGATGAAAAAGAAGTGGAAGTGGTTCCGGAACCAAAGCGCTTCCAGACAAAGTTGATGGCAGAGTTTTGTTTGCTTGAAGATCTGTCACTGTTTGAATCAATAGACCCAAATGTGAAACAGAACACCAAGGTTTCAGCAGCTATCTATGATGCAATTCACTGCTACTGTCTCATCTATGAAGAGAAGGCCACCACTCAGACATCCCAAGACTGCTTCTCCAAGAGAATGGACAAAGATAATGAGTCTCACCACGTGTCCGAATCATTGCTATTGACTTCAATTGCTACAACATTCAGGCCAACATCTTCTTACCATCTGTTTTATTAAATTTATATTTACAAACTTTATTATAAACAAACTATTTCATTTATAACATGTTTTGTTTACTAGTTTACAGTATTTTTTCTATGTTCACTTATATGTTTTACCCCTCTGAGGGTCCGTGCCATAGATTTGAGTCTATACGTTGAGGGCTCAAACCATAGAACTATGCCAAAATTCTAGCAGCGTCAAATTTAGCACGAGAAGGCTGGTTGGCCAACATGTGAGAGAACGGGTTTGTGTGCACTGTAAACAAAAATTCTAGGCACCCACATAGCATTGTGGGAATGCCGCCTCGGTTACCTTTGTTCACTATGCCTCGTTGCAAGGCAGCTCTCACTCCAAGGCAAATTGGGACTCTCCTCTTCCTATCTGATAGTTCTGACTCTGATGGAAGTGGAAATGAAGACTAATTCTATGGCTTTGATCAATCAGTGACCGAAAGGAATGACCAGGATATCGAAAATAGTGCAGAAAATCCTGACAATCCTCAACCTTCTACCTCTGGTGTGGGCACGTCTCAAGTCATGTTCAGTTGTACCTTGTCGCAAGAGAAAACTAATATTTTCACGTGGCCAGGCCTCCGACTTCAGTAATGATGATAGTGACATGGATTGTAATTTTTAATGCTCTTGACAATCATTCGAGTAATGATAGTGAGGAATCATATTCACCAGTGAAGCGTCGGTATATACACCGCCGCATGCACTTGGATAGTGTTCCCTATGCAGTGCCCAGGGGACGGAGTACATCCCGGAGTACATCCCGTGGCCCTACACCAGGAACAGATAGTGAAAGTGAGGATGATGTGGCTACACTTGGAATGGATAGACCACAGGCATCAGTAGGTCCAAAAGTAAATCTACATTTGCTCGCATAGCGTTCCAAACGTAGATCTACTTTTTTTTTTTTACCTTGTTTCTTATGGAGAAAATCAAGGTTGGAGTGCTATGCGCGCAAACTTAGATCTATGTTTGGACAGTTTAACCCTTTCAGGGTCAACAGGCCCTCTCCCAGACTCATTCTCAGGGTCAAGAAATTTAAAAAAAAAAATTATTTTTTCTAATGAAAAGATAGTTTTTTTCTAAACATTATAGGCTAAAAAAAAAATTTTTGCCATCAATACTTACCGACATATGGAGGTGTGAAACTGAAAGAAAATGAGCCACATGTGGCATCATTGCCGACTGCCTGTCACCCAGTATTTTATTTTCTTTTTTTCTACTTTTTTCTATTACACCTACCATCCGACTTACGACCTGCTCGACAAACGACGACTCAACTTACAACCGTGTTTTTTATGCCAAATTTCTGGGAAATAAACAAGTGCTTGTGTTGTACACAGTGTTTATCCTAAACCTTAGAGTATAAAATATAGTACTAACAGCATAAAAAGCAAAGTAAAACATGAAACACCAAAATAAAACAATAAAATAAAGTCATTACAAAAATGTTATGTTGATATTCAGTAGTAAAGTTCAACTTATGTCCATTTCGACTTACGACCGGTTCCTCGGAACCGAACTCGGTTGTAAGTCGGATGGTAGGTGTATTTTTATTTTTTTTTTTCAAGTAACTTTTATGGCCTGTGAGACCAATATAAGCACATTTTGTAAGTTTTTTCTCTTTATTTACTACACAATAACTGCATAAACACTGTTGTCACTACATTATTTACAAAACTTGTTTACACAAACGATATACAGTGGACCCCCCGCATAACGATATTAATCCGTTGAGAGCTCATTGTTATGCGAAATTATCGTTATGCGAATGAATTTTCCCCATAAGAAATAATGGAAATCAAATTAATCCGTGCAAGACACCCCAAAGTATGAAAAAAAAAAATTTTACCACATGAAATATTAATTTTAATACACACAAACTGAAAAAGGCATGCACAGTTACATGACTCTTACCTTTATTGAAGATCTGGTGATGATTGATGGGATGGGAGGAGGAGAGAGTCTTAGTGTTTAGAAGGGGAATCCCCTTCCATTAAGACTTGAGGTGTCAAGTCCTTTTCTGGGGTTACTTCCCTTCTTCTTTTAATGCCACTAGGACCAGCTTCAGAGTCACTGGACAACATATCTGTCCATAGTGGCCTGTACCTCTCGTTCCTTTATGACTTTCCTAAAGTGTTTCACAACAGTGTCAGTGTAATAATCACCAGCACAGCTTGCAATAGCTGTGTTAGGGTGATTGTCATCAAAAAAGGTTTGCACTTTAAGCCACATTCCACACATTTCCTTAATCTTTGAAGTAGGCAACTTCTTCAATTTCTCTCTCCCCTCCTCCGAAGCAGTTTCCTCAGGTCTGGCATCTTGCTGTTGAAGTTGATCTAGCAGCTCATCAGTGGTTAGTTCTTCATTGTCCTCCTCCACCAACTCTTCCACATCATCCCCACTAACCTCCAACCCCAAGGACTTTCCCAATGCCACAATGGATTCCTCAACTGGCATAGGATTCCCAGGGTTAGCCTCAAACCCTTCAAAATCCCTTTGGTCTACACATTCTGGCCACAGTTTCTTCCAAGCAGAGTTCAAGGTCCTCTTACTCACTCCCTCCCAAGCCTTACCTATAAGGTTTACACAATTGAGGATATTAAAGTGATCTCTCCAAAACTCTCTTAGAGTCAATTGAGTTTCTGAGGTCACTACAAAGCACCTTTCAAACAGAGCTTTTGTGTACAGTTTCTTGAAGTTGGAAATAACCTGCTGGTCCATGGGCTGCAGGAGAGGAGTGGTATTAGGAGGCAAAAACTTGACCATAACGAAGCTCATGTCCCCACAAAGTCGCTCTGCCAAGTCTGTAGGATGACCAGGGGCATTGTCTAACACCAGGAGGCACTTAAGGTCTAATTTCTTTTCAGTTAGGTAATCTTTCACATTGGGGGCAAATCCTTGGTGTAACCAGTTATAGAAGAAGTCCCTAGTGACCCATGCCTTACTGTTTGCCCTCCACAGCACACACAAATTAGCCTTGAGGATATTCTTTTGCCTGAACGCTCTGGGAGTTTCTGAGTGATGCACTAATAAAGGCTTCACTTTGCAATCACCACTAGCATTGGAACACATCAACAGAGTAAGCCTGTCTTTCATAGGCTTATGTCCTGGGAGTGCCTTTTCCTCCTGAGTAATGTAGGTCCTGCTTGGCATTTTCTTCCAAAACAGGCTTGTTTCATCACAATTAAACACTTGTTCAGGTTTCAGTCCTTCACTGTCTATGTACTCCTTGAATTCCTGCACATATTTTTCAGCTGCTTTGTGGTCCAAACTGGCAGCCTCACCATGCCTTATCACACTATGTATGCCTCTACGCTTCTTATATCTCTCAAACCAACCTTTGCTGGCCTTAAATTCACTCACATCACTAGTTGCAGGCATTTTTTTAATTAAATCCTCATACAACTTCCTAGCCTTTTCACTTATGATCACTTGAGAGATGCTATCTCCTGCTATCTGTTTTTCATTTATCCATACCAATAAGAGTCTCTCAACATCTTCCATCACTTGCGATCTCTGTTTCGAAAACACAGTTGAACCTTTGGCAAGAACAGCTTTCTTGATTGCCGTTTTGTTGGACACAATAGTAGCGATGGTTGATTGGGGTTTATTATACAACCTGGCCAGCTCGGAGACACGCACTCCACTTTCATACTTAGCAATGATCTCTTTCTTCATCTCTATAGTAATTCTCACCCTTATTCCTGTAGGGTTGGCACTAGAAGCTTTCTTGTGGCCCATGGTCACTTATTTTGCAGATAAAATCACCAAAAACACTGTAATAATATGAAATGTTCCGATTGTATGCTTGGATGTTACCGCGGAGGCTGGCTGGTAAACAATGCCACCGGCGGAACATGTGAGGCTGGCTCGGGCCGCACATTAGACGCGTCTCGGACGAATAGCGTTGAGCGGGTTTTTTAGCGGTATGCGAGGCAAAATCTTAGCGATAAAATGTATTGGTATGCGGATTTAACATTATGTGATGCCAACGGTATGCGGGGGTCCACTGTAAAATGTTGTTTATTACTATTTTTCTATATTTTATATACACATATACAGTCACAGAATATGTTTCTAGAAGTTCTGCAGCCTGTGGAACTCTTTGAAACATGGTTTCATGCACAGTGCTGTTTTACACTCCTCACACATAAAACG